ATAATCACTCACTCCAGTATCCGTTTCAGGAATACGATCAGACACACATACAGGAAAAAAAAAACTTAACGTCCAGAACAATTTTCAGAAATGAAATCATACGCAGGCAAAGCAAATATACAAACTCAGTACCGAGACGCTCTAAACTAACTGGGTTGACTCAGTCGCCTTTTCTCCCCCCCCCCTCCCCCTCTCTCTCCCTCTCGCTGTGTCGCGAACATAACCATTAATGGCGGGAAATTCAAATCAGATTACGGGATCGAACAACGACTCGTTAATTGGGAAGAGAGAGGCCTTTGATGACGTGCGTAATCCAGACTAATCGAGCCATTGGTCAACGACAAACTTCTTGCTCCGAATTCAATGGCGCTCTCACACGAGTTTTACCGAGTCATTTTGAGCACCGAGTTTATCCTTGCGCTTTGTGTTCTTCCTTTGAAATGTCCTTTTTTTAATTAGACCGTCATGTGTAACGAAAATTATGAAATACGACATACGAAAGAAGAAGAAAAAAAAAAACTTCACATCTCATTTTGAATAATACAAGATCGTAAAATCAATGTTTAAGGTTTCCTCTCAAGCTTACATCTCATAAACCATACAGCTGAAGTACGCGGGTAACCACAGGACGGTAATTATGAAATTTGTTATGTGTACCTTCGAACATGAGCGATACCACATTTTTCTTGTATACAAACACATAGGAAAGGCCGCTACTGTTGTATTAAGGAGTCTTGCAGGTGAGGGCCGGCCGAGGGAAAACGAGCGACGATGGGCGGTAACTCTACCAAAATTATAGCTTTCGGTCAGCATAAATCGGGCATGTGCAAGGAAGTAACTCATGCATTTTCCCAGAATTTAAAATAGGATTCGGGAGCACTTCTAAGGCAAAATCTAATCGAGATCTAAATAGCGAACAGACGTTATTCATTATCAGACATTACCTGGTAGTTACATTGAATTTCATAGTATTTCTTTGATCGCTTGGAGCATCAAACGACTTTCTCGAGCTATGCTTCACAATCATGGGAATGAAACAGTGGTATTTTGAAGCCTTGCCGACAACCCTGACTCCTTAAATTGCAACATACATTACATGTCATGCAACTTTGGCCCTAATCTATCTTTGTCATAGGGATCGACTCGCGTGCATGTTCAACTGCTGGGTAAAAATTGCAAAGGATGATTTATTTCAGTGTCTTTCGTGAAGTTTACGAGCTGATGTAGCCATGCATTCGGGCTCTGAATATTCATAGGAAGGGCCCATATTGTTTCGTTTTTGCTCAGTATAGTTGAAATTAGGGGAGTTTAAGTTAATAGTAGGCTAAAAGACGATTTTTTACTCCTCGTCGTAAAAAATAACCATAATACCATAATAAGTGTGGGAGAAGCTGATCGAAGCAAAGAGCAAAACATATGAAGATCGAATATGGCACAGAGGAACTGTCGGTCATTGTTGCCAAGGCAATAAAAGTTTCGCTGTCACAAGAAATGAATCCTTCATTTAAACTTCGGACTATTTCTTGACGACCGTAAACTGCAAGATGCCATCGCAGCGATGCTTTATCACGACGGAAAACAAAGATATGTCTAACACAGAACGTAAACATAAATGAACGTAACATGGCAACACCGAGACTTATTGCTCGGGGTATGTTAATGTAACTTATTTTCCTTCTGCCCTGTAATTTGGGTCATCTGGCGAAGTTTTGGATCGGACAAATGAGTCCACCAAGTTGCAATGACGTAAAAATCTTGCAACAAGCAAGTCTTTAACTCTTTTTTTTTTAACATGCGTATCTTTGTTTACGTCTCGTTCAGTGCATGTGTTGCTGTCTGTCTCCGTGTACTCGCCACTGTCCCTCTCTCGTGCTCGCCAGCGGTCGTGTGATCAGACCTGCGTTTGCTGGTCTTTTTCCTTGTCATGGAAACTCGTCAAAATTGTTCCACGGCCGGTTTACAATGAGAGCTATTCAGACACTGTAGAGCATTTCCTCTTCTTACATGCGATAAAAATAAAGAGTGGAACATAGTCTTTATGTTATCCTAACCATAAATCGTGTAATAAAGTTAATTCTAACACTATATATAAATGTTCCGATTTAGCCTACGAAGCCCCTAGGCACCCCCAAGAATCCATATAAAAGCTCTGAAATAACGCCTATAAACCCACACTTAAATTGTCCTATGAGTCCCTCACATACCCATAAAAACCCAAATAACAACCCCCTTCACTTCCCCCCCCCTCCCCCTTCCTCAGCTTCTTGCGTTCTCCGAGCCCTTTCTACCCTGCGTGTCTTCCACCCACACCAAATGAACATTAACAACTTTAAGAGGATAAAACAGGATTCATCCATCACTCGATTCGAAAATTCGTAGCCGGCAAGATGGCAGTCACGCTTGTAAGAATGGAAGGATGCCAGAAGACAGGCTTCCGAGTGAGCCCGTTGTGCGCTTTCGTCGGTAATCGTCTTAATTGTGACATAAAAGGCATAGCTTATATTACCCAGTTCCCGTGTTTTATGAGACAAAAAAGTCGAGCTCAAAAGCATCAAGAACCAACTCGAGTCTTCTCGGTACTCACCTTTCTTGGGGATGAGAGACTTGAGGAGGTAGACGGCGTTGTCGTCGGTGGCCCAAGCGTGCATCTTGCGGTAAGAGTCGCGGCCTTTCTCAGTCAGTTTGTCCCAACTCTTTGGCTTGGACAGGAGCTCCGAGACGGTGCCCTAGGGGTGGAGGGAGGCACGGAGGGGAGTCACATAAGTGTAAGATAGTGGCAGATAATGAGGAAGGAAATGTATCGAATGAGAGAAGGATGGGGAAAAATTAGGGTACAACAAAATTAGGGTCGTGTGAAGGAAGTCATTGCAGGTCTAAAATGGAAGGTATAGGGGAGTTGCAGGAAGAGGTTGATGTGTATACAGGTAGGGGTGCAATCCAAAGAACTAAATGGTACAGCATGATTATGATTAGAATCAATTACCATTCGTTTTGCAGATTACATAGCGAACTCGAGGAAATTAATCATAAAGGGACAAGACAACAAAATACTCCCCCATAATTGAACACGTAGTAAAAATTCCAAGTTACACACATCTGCTGCAACCAAGAATCCAACCCCGTCAAAGGAAGTTAATTATGACAACCTAAACCCGTCAAAGGGAATCAAGTCCGACCGGTCCGGCCGCGCTCACCTGCGAGAGCCCCAGGATATATTTTGCGAAGAGGCGCTGTCCGATGTTGTGGATGGAGAGGAGTTCGCGCACGCGCCGGGCCAGGCACAGCGTGTCCAGGCTCTGCTGGCAGAACTTCTCCATGTTGAACCTTCGGGAGACACGCAGACAGCGGTTAGGGCGAGATGCTTCATGGGCGCCGCGTGTATGGTGCAAGACTCGCGAGCACATGCACCCGTTCGTGCGTACGCATACACATGCATCTATATATATATATATATATATATATATATATATATATATATATATATATATATATATATATATACACACACACACACACAGATAAATATATATATATATATATATATATATATATATATATATATATATATATATATATATATATATATATATTCATATTTGTGTGTGTGTGTGTCAATAAAAACAGGTAAAAAGATAATCAGATTATATAATCAAACATGCGCACACAGTCCTACCTTAGAATTTCCTGAAGCCTAGCTTCCATGGGATCTCCCTTCGGAATGAGTGATTCTCCAGTGATCCGGTCCTCGAACTTGAAGGCCATTGAGGGCATCTCGTCCTTGAAGGGTGACCGGTCGTCCCTGGGCTGGAAGGGGCTCTTCGTCTCGTGGGGGAAGCCGTTGGCCATCGAGCTCGGGCTCTTCATGCTCACGTCGCCGATGGGCGATTCCCTCGAGTCGGACCGCTCGACGGGCCCTCCGCCGCTGTCGGGCGACATTTGACCTGCGGGCACACGGCGTCAGTTCTCGTGCTCGCGGAAAGGGTAGAATTAGCCCATTCCTATTACGTCATGACTGGGGATTCCGAGAAAGGCAAACGAGGCCGAGCGGCGTAACGTACCTGAGTTTAGGTGATGGCGATCTAGCGCTGACCTTTCGAGCGACCTCCGCCACTCTTCACCCAGGAGGTGGTGGAGCGGCGTGCCCGGCGGAGGGTGAGGAGCTAGAGGCTGGAGAGGGGATGCCATGGGCGGAGGTGCCAGCGGAGGCGGCAGGTGTGGCCTAAGAGGTGGGTGGAGATGCGAGTGGCTCATGGGTGGAAGAGGACCTGGAATAGAGAGGGACATCCATTAACTGCTGGCGCTGACGACCCACCTGGCGGAGGCAACGAGTGACCGCCTCATGACCAGGCGCTGAAGGTCTGTGGATTTTACCGTGTCATTTCCTTCCATAAATTTTTGTTTACAACCCCAGCAGTGCAGATATGATATAACAATTACTGGTGTTTTAGTTCTGTGGTCAGACCATTGGAAAGGATTCTCAAATGTATGTCATATTCTTCAATATACTCAGAGTCATCAATTACATATTTATGATCTTAAATTAATAAGTGGGAAACATTAGAGCGTTTTAGTACTGCCAATGACTGGGACGAAAGTAACTGAAGCGAGTCATTTGCCTTAGCATGTGGTCAAGCGGCTGCATCTATCTTATCACCACATTCCCCAAGAAATAACAACAATCAAGCAAAAAACATCGAATTTAACACGTTTGGGAAACAAATAAATAAAATCTGCAACTCATAGTCATCCCTTTATAACATCCATCGCAATTGAAGAATAAAAGCGCGAAACAGAGAACCAAACCATCCACGAAATAAACATTCCACCGAAAGGGAGAACCTGAGGTTGACCACTTACCATAGACATCGTGAAACTGCTTACCGAACTCCGAGGTGGGAATTTTATCGTGTTCGGACTTCGACCTGTCCACCAGCAGACTCTCCAAGGACCTGGGTGGTAGACTGAGGCCTTCGGGCACCATCCGACCTTCTCGTATGCTCCTGGGTAGAGAAGAAAATGTATAAGTCCTGCGGATTTTCACACAAGAAGGATGTAATTCACGTAAAAATATATTGATAAATAATCCTAATATGATGTTTGATTTCAAAATGATATCATGTAAACGCACTGCGCTTATTTCCACATTTAAATATAACTCATACGGAACAAGAGAAGAATATGTATTCGTTCTGGCCTGGCGGTTCCACTACATCTCACTGGACAACCCTTTCACCCTTCTCTCTCTCTCCCTCTCGCCCCTCTACAACTGCCTTTCTCGCCCTCTGCCGGCCACTCAGGAGGTCCTGCTTAATATTCAGAGAGCTGGCCAGGTCCATCAGGAACCCATTGATGCGAGACGCTACTGGTGTTGGGTAAACAGGGCCTTCTACACAATACAACCCGCGAATCATTGTCCTTGATCGGCGTATAACAAAGGGGGAAATGGAGGCGGACGGGGTGGGGGTCGCTGGATTGAGAGGTCCGCACGTCTTTACTCTTCGTTTTAGAAGGAGTCTTAGATCAGCTCTCCGCAGGATTCTAACTACAGCATCTACAATACTGAATGTATGAATGTAAGTGACTTTTCTTCTCTTTACGTAGAAACTACCATCGAGCACAGCGTCTTGATGAACACGTTTAATGACAAAACACAATCCTTAAGAAGCCCCTCGCTGAATGGAAACGATCGTCCGTCTGATTCGAATTAACGCCAATGACTTGCACGATGGGACTCTTTTGTGAGCACCTCTCTAAGGCTATTGGCCATTCCTCATTGACGGAAGCTCACGCCTATAATTTTGCAATCAATAGAGCGCCCATTAAGCAATAGATCAACAGTCATGCATCTGCAGGGCCGAGGCAGCACACCACGTGGGCCTTTGTCGGGGTTTCATCAAGGCTATCAATAAGAAGCTCGAGCAGATCAGGCTGGCGGTGCGCGGCGCTGGCGAAAAAACGCTGTTCTTTACCGCCTGGTCCTATTAATCAAAGCGTTTTTGGCGCTCGCGGGGAACGGCGAATTCGGGGCTTTTTGCATCGGTTGGGAGGTTTAGAAACTCTTTCATTGAAATTATATTTGCAGCGAGGTTTCAGTATTTTATGACATATATATATATATATATATATATATATAGAGAGAGAGAGAGAGAGAGAGAGAGAGTAGAGAAGAAAATGTATAAGTCCTGCGGATTTTCACACAAGAGGGATGTAATTCACGTAAAAATATATTGATAAATAATCCTGATATGATGTTTGATTTCAAAATGATATCATGTAAACGCACTGCGCTTATTTCCACATTTAAATATAACTCATACGGAACAAGAGAAGAATATGTATTCGTTCTGGCCTGGCGGTTCCACTACATCTCACTGGACAACCCTTTCACCCTTCTCCCTCTCTCCCTCTCGCCCCTCTACAACTGCCTTTCTCGCCCTCTGCCGGCCACTCAGGAGGTCCTGCTTAATATTCAGAGAGCTGGCCAGGTCCATCAGGAACCCATTGATGCGAGACGCTACTGGTGTTGGGTAAACAGGGCCTTCTACACAATACAACCCGCGAATCATTGTCCTTGATCGGCGTATAACAAAGGGGGAAATGGAGGCGGACGGGGTGGGGGTCGCTGGATTGAGAGGTCCGCACGTCTTTACTCTTCGTTTTAGAAGGAGTCTTAGATCAGCTCTCCGCAGGATTCTAACTACAACATCTACAATACTGAATGTATGAATGTAAGTGACTTTTCTTCTCTTTACGTAGAAACTACCATCGAGCACAGCGTCTTGATGAACACGTTTAATGACAAAACACAATCCTTAAGAAGCCCCTCGCTGAATGGAAACGATCGTCCGTCTGATTCGAATTAACGCCAATGACTTGCACGATGGGACTCTTTTGTGAGCACCTCTCTAAGGCTATTGGCCATTCCTCATTGACGGAAGCTCACGCCTATAATTTTGCAATCAATAGAGCGCCCATTAAGCAATAGATCAACAGTCATGCATCTGCAGGGCCGAGGCAGCACACCACGTGGGCCTTTGTCGGGGTTTCATCAAGGCTATCAATAAGAAGCTCGAGCAGATCAGGCTGGCGGTGCGCGGCGCTGGCGAAAAAACGCTGTTCTTTACCGCCTGGTCCTATTAATCAAAGCGTTTTTGGCGCTCGCGGGGAACGGCGAATTCGGGGCTTTTTGCATCGGTTGGGAGGTTTAGAAACTCTTTCATTGAAATTATATTTGCAGCGAGGTTTCAGTATTTTATGACATATATATATATATATATATATATATATATATATATATATATATAGAGAGAGAGAGAGAGAGAGAGAGAGAGAGAGAGAGAGAGAGAGAGAGAGAGAGAATGAGTGAGTAAGTGAGTGAATGAGGCAGACAGATCGAAAGAGAAACAGAAAGATAAACAGAAAAACAGAGACAGAGAAAAACCGTTCGACAGACAAACAGCCACAGCTGATAGTGGCTTATCATAACATTCTTCCTTCTTCAATATATCTATCCATCCGCTGTATGCATTTCAATATGCAAAGAGAACGCTGAATCAGAATGCTTGATGATAACGATTAAGTTATCACGATTATTTGCGAACAAACTCTTTGTTGTTTTCCACGCATAAAAAAGAGAAAAAGTGTTGATCTTTTAATGATTCTAGGCAACTATTTTAATCTAAGTTAAACTCGTATTTAATGCCGTAATTCAAAATCAGTTACAACGGTGACAATAAAGAGCAACTTTAATGTTAGAACACGTGTATATCGCTTTGACTAACGGGCATACTTAGTGGAGAAACTGCAGTTAAAAGATTGGTTATATTCGTGCAGTTCGTATCATACATAAACAGTGATGGATATGATACAGTAAATCTTGCAAAAAAAGGTTGAGAGAGAGAGGGAAAGAGAGAGAGAGAGAGAGAGAGAGAGAGAGAGAGAGAGAGAGAGAGAGAGAGAGAGAGAGAGAGAGAGAGAGAGAGAGAGAGAGAGAACGAAAGAAAGAAAGAGAAAAAAAAGGAAAGAGAGAAACAGAGAAAAAGAGGTCACCAGACAGACAAAAAATTCAACACAATGCTACTAATGGCTACCCTGCACGAAACACATGATTTTATAATATATTTTTTCTAAAGGTAAGGAAATCGAAAATGAGTATCAGTTGGAGCGCAACGGCCTAGACGAAGGGTAACCCCGCGGACAATAGGTCTTGATAATGACATTGACAAATTACAAATCTGTTCCGTTATTGCTCACATCCTTGGTTTTGACGATTGAATTCCACCTTCCGCTGCCAGACTTCCTTGATATAATTAGATTTAGAGAGTTTATAGTTCAAGCAAAGTTGCCGATTTCGCATTGTGTGTGTGAGCGTATCTATACTCATCTATGTATCTATGTATTTGCATGTCTCTCTCTTTCTTTCTTTCTCCCTCTCTCTCTCTCTCTCTCTCTCTCTCTCTCTCTCTCTCTCTCTCTCTCTCTCTCTCTCTCTCTCTCTCTCTCTCTCTCTCTCTCTCTCTCTCTTTCCATATATATATTTATAATGTATATATATATATATATATATATATATATATATATATATATATATATATACATACATATATACGTAGATATTCACATAAATAAATAAATAAATAAATTATTATACACACACACATACACACACACACACATATATATATTCACATTATGCATGCAGTCGATCAACACAAGTATCTATGTAGATGCTCGGGCTTACGCCAGTGTGTTTTTTTTGTTGTTTTTTTTTCCTAAGTATTTATTTACCAGTGATTCTATCTGTATTGCAAATGTTTGCTTTGCATTTGAACGTGCTTGTGGTCATGCCATGACATGTGAAACAAAGGCACTGCAAGAACCCACCCAACTCATCTCTTATAGCGCTACTTGGAAAGCAATCGGATAGCTTTGATTGGCTCGTGTATCTGAGTGCAGCGGCGGTGGTAAGGCGATCGGATCCGCCGTGTCGTCTTTTGTTCGCCTATTACTGCCTCGGCGTCTATTGTGCCAACAGAGCTATGTACGAACGCGTCCAAATTGGTTCGGAAACGTTTTCTTCTTATCCTCCAAACCTTGTGTGTGTCTCTGTGTTATTCATAAATGCGTTGACATCCCTTGTAGAATATTGAAATATCATCACAGGTATTATCCAGCATTCCGTGACATAAACGTTGAAATTTAATGGATCTAAACAATATGAAAATGAGCTAATGCAACAAGTAAAGCCCGGCCTCTGAATCAATGATCATATGTTAATGCAAGACACGACACACGAAACGGACTATAGCACTTTAATTTAATTTTCTCTCACGCAACTCTCTCTCTCTCTCTCTCTCTCTCTCTCTCTCTCTCTCTCTCTCTCTCTCTCTCTCTCTCTCTCTCTCTCTCTCTCTCTCTCTCTCTCTTTCTCTGCCAGACAATAGTCTCGCCTTGTTTTTTTTCCTTATTTTGCCATTTATTTTTCTTTATTTAATGTTCTCCTCACTACCACATTTTATCAGTAATGTTTTTGTCGAGTTTATCAAGCCTTCCTCCTACTGCGACATATCGCTCTGGAGACGCCAGTGTCGACAAGAGCGACACGCACTTTCGTGATAGTGCTGATGATGCCTGCGATGATGATAATGATGGATAGATTTATCGTGACGTATTGGCGGTCCGATTTTATTGTAATCCTGTCAGTAGCTGCGGCGATGATGATGGGGGCAGTGGTGGCCAGTGATGGCTGCTTTGGTGATTATACGACAGTGCAACAATATATATATATATATATATATATATATATATATATATATATATATATAGATAGATAGATAGATAGATAGATAGATAGATAGATAGATAGATAGATAGATTGATAGATAGATAGACAAATGGATAGGTAGATATGCAGATAGAATGATTGATTTATAAGTAGATAGATAGACAGACAGAGAGATAAATAGATATTTACATAATACATTTGTGTGTGTGTGTGTGT